TCTTGATCGATCTCCTGAAGTAAGACCCACTATTGAAAAACTGCTCGAATATCTCAAAAATGTAGGGTGTTGCACTAAAGATGAATTCAAAAGGTTAGCTGCAAAAATTAAAGGGCCTCAAATGACTCCTTACTTATGAAATAATGATGTTTAAAAGTCCATCAAGAAATCCAAATATTCCGAAAAAGAAGTAAAAAACGATTGCTCAATAAAATTATCTGCTCAGGCGTCTGAAATGAGAATTGGCTTGAAAGGTCAAATTCTCTTTTCATCGGTACATATAATTAAGCAGTCCATTTGGCGCTCTATTAGCAGGTTCGAAGCATTGTTAGCAAATAAATCGAATTATTCTAGCAGATCGGCCGTTGCATAAACTTGGCATCAAAGCATTTTTTCATATTCAACCAAGTAAAATTGCCGGCCATGATACTCAATTATCCATTTGCCAGCTTCACGTTGGATTTGGCTTAGGTGATGCTTAACCCGGAAACTAGGATTAAAGAACGACCCATAACGCACACGATAACCTGATCTTAAATATATAAGTTTTGACCATAAACGTTTGTCTATTATCAAAGTACTGTTTTTGTGGAGGTTGCCAACTTTTCAATAAAAAGATCTAGAACATATGGAACGAGAATAGAATCGTAAAGCCAAAGAATCCCGGTTCTGGATGTTTTTATGGCTGCTCTAACAAAAAGCGTATATGCCAACTCAAACACGATGTCAAGCGTCTTCTCATCCCGGAAACTATCTTTAATCAAGAGCACCGCATCGATGTTTTTGAGGGTTTATAAAAAATCAAATCTGCTCATCAATAGAGGTCTGGTCTGATCGTTCAAGTGTATAATCTTGTCCAAGTTATGAATTTTATGTCTTCAGAATATACGAGAGATCAAGAGATATTCAAAGCCGTGGAGAAAGTTTTTGCCAAGGCAAGAGAACTTTGCCTCCCTATGGTCCCTTTTTAAATGATTCAAATGAGTAGAAGAAACCCCTTTTCCAGATGAGCCTTGTTATCAGGGGGTATAAAATCTGGAAAAAATATTTTTTTGATGATACATTTTTTGGCATTCTCACTGCGTGTTGAAAGTGTATCTTTCTGATCTTGCAAAATTGAAAAAACGAAGATCTTAACCTGGCAGCATGAATCTTTAAGATCAGTAAGCGGATTATCAGTTGAGATTCCATTTAACAGTTCTCGGGCTCTTAAGAGTGTTTGATAAAAGGCTCTTCATATATAAACGCGTAGAGAAAGTAAGCAAGCAAGTTTCTTGCAAGCAGACATCGGCATGAAAGGCTTTATTCACTTCAAAACAAACATCTGCGACCTCATTTTGTGGCCATTTTGAATTTCCAAAAGCATTGATTTCAGCACATTTTACCAATCAATTAATTAACCTAACCATATCGAACGCAAGAAGCCGATGATATTAATCCATTAATTAGACGCAATCCAAAAAAAGAATCCAAAGGTGTGGCTTCAACCCAATTCTATCTCTAAATCCCAAGTTTTCCAATCAGATCACTGTTTCGACAAGATCTTTTGTCTAAATTGGATTTCACTGATATTATAGATCACCAAAGGCATCGATAAAAGCTTGCCTGCATTGAATGCAAAGTTGAACCACCTTAAAAGCTGCGATAGGTTTTATTTTGATGGACAAGTTTTTTGATAATAGAGCTGGGGTTGTGTTTTTGGGCTATCACCGCCACGCCCACACGAAACTTCAATCGTAAAAGATGCCATTTTCGAGCGAAAAGAATATTCACGCACCCTGATCAGGGGACAGCTTCGGCATTTCAAACATAGAAGGCACTTTTATGGCGCTTTGCACTTGGCAGTGAAACTCGGGGATTAAGCAAACTAACAATAGCATAACGCCAACGGCAAATAAATTGATGATTTGACCCTTGAATTTAAAAAACAAAAGTATGGGTTGCAATCAGATTAGAAGAAAGCTATAACGTGCTTCAACCCTATTTATTGACTATCGTAATGCAGAAGGTATAGACATAAAGTATTAAATATCATTCTCTTTTGAAAGCACTTCATAATCAAGAATTGGCCATGGAAGCGAATCTTTGGAAATAACAGAGGTCTTCAGTCTGGCGGAGATACCACTCCAAATGGAATCCCTAATAAATAACTGTTTAAAGCGGGCTTACGATGAGTTTTGAAGCCATATGCAGTAGTCGTTTAAAAAAATTTTACAAATCGGATATCTGACTTCATCGTGATCGAACCTGTCTTTAAGTTCCAAAAATATTTTCAACAAGGCCCTTTTCCCGTTTCTTTGAAGGAGGATAGATGCATCCGTTATAATTTGATGGGATAGTATGTAATTCCTCAATAGGGGAAAACATAGTGACCTTTTAACAAAAGAAGAAGTTAGCAAAACCAGCGACTTAAAAACCTAATGCTAAACACGCGTAAATGTACTTGTAGGAAGGAAATGGAAGCTGCGAGTTTAGAAACAAGCCAAGTAGATTCACAAGTCCATTCACCTTGAAAGATGCGTCTGTTATAAAGATAGGCCAGTAAAATGTCAAGTGCTCCATAATATATTGGCTTCAAGTCTGTGAGCATATCTATAGATTAATCGGCATTCATACACGATTTGTGGCCAAGCGCAATCAACTGCTTTCTTTCAAATTCAGAAAACTCAACATCCGCATCGTTTGTAGGAGGAGGGAAGGAGAGGGCCAATGAGACATTTTGCTCCTCATCAATAAAATCGAAGCTAGGCATGCATGATAAATGAAGAAAATAAGTACATGTAGGCATCTTCATTAAAAGAAGTGCTTTCCTGCTGCTGTTGAAGCGCTCTGCGGGCATCAAAGGATGTTTTTTCTGGAGATTCCAAATCAAAAAGCTCCAAAGTAGATCCCCTCGGAAAGTCCTTGAAAAAATCGGTATACATGCAATTGAAGCCATAGCCATAAGACTAAATTGGTGAGCATTAAGACTATACATTGATCAACGACACCGGCTCTTGTTGTTCAACAAAAAAATCCGTTTCCTCATCGTGAAAATTAAATCTATTGTGATCGTCATTGGGGTCGATCGCTTCCAAAATTACTTCTGGAGACTGGTCTACTTCTGAAACGAGAGAATTGATCGATGGTTGCACACATGCAGAGGGATTGCGCAAAAGTTCTCCCACAAGATCAAGATTTGGAAATTGTTGTCCAGGAATCGCTTTTGCAATGGAAAAGGATAAGAGACCCCTCTCTAAATCAAGCTTTGCTGTTTCAGTGCCATCTTGTTTAACAGAGCCGGGGAGAGAAAGCCTCAAGTAATAGGGTTTAGCATAGCAATGAAATAGTTGCGGATCAATGGTAAATTCGACCTCCTGCGCCCGGATCAACGGGACTTTGAGAGTAATGAAAACGCGGTCATTTGACTGATCCAACCAAAAAACCGGAGTAATCATGTAAATTTTGAATTAAAAATTTATTACAACATTTTTTACAATAACAACATGAGGCTTAAATCCGAGTCCCGCCTTTGAATTGCTTAATAATGATGTCGAGTATGCGAACAATGGAATTGTGGTTATGTGGAACAGATGCAAATGTAGAAATGTTTTCTGTTACAGATTGGTGTATCTTCAAGGACGTTGCGCGAAACAACTGGCTATTTACAAGCATCCTAGTTATGGTCTCCTGAAGCAAGCTCAAGGGAAGCATTAAAATGGTGTAAATTTTACCTTAATTTCAATTCAAGTTATTCAGAAGTTAATTGGTCGTTTTACGCCAATTAACGTCTGTGCAATTCGCAAGTACGATCGCCGTAGAATTTAATGGAAAGCTCTAGAAGAATCGACTCGCTTAAATATAAAGTTAGTAGCGTGGTTTTTCACCAAAATGATGGCATCAGACAATTCTCACCCTGGCGAAGAAACTTTCCAGTTTCAAGCTGAAATCAGTCAGCTTATGAGTCTTATTATCAACACTTTCTACTCCAATAAGGAAATCTTTTTGAGAGAGTTGGTCTCCAATTCTTCCGATGCTTTGGATAAGATTAGATACGAATCTCTGACCGATCCAAGTAAATTGAATACCAATAAGGACCTTTTTATCCAAATAATCCCTGACAAGGCCAACAAGACCCTCACCATCAGAGATTCCGGTGTCGGCATGACCAAGGAAGACCTTATCCGCAATCTCGGAACAATCGCCCGCTCGGGAACCAAGGCGTTCATGGAGGCTCTTCAAGGGGGCGCTGATATTAGCATGATTGGTCAATTTGGTGTCGGATTTTATTCTGCCTATCTTGTGGCCGATAGCGTCAGGGTTATATCTAAGCACAACGACGATATTCAGTATGTTTGGGAATCTGCTGCCGGTGGTCACTTCAATGTATATCCAGATGCCGCCGGTGAATCACTCGGACGCGGTACCGCAATCATTTTGAAGATGAAAGAAGACCAGCTTGAATATCTTGAAGAACGCAAGATCCGTGACATCATTAAGAAGCATTCTGAATTCATTGAATATCCGATCCAGCTTTTTGTTACAAAGGAGGTTGAGAAGGAAGTCCCCCAAGAAGAGCAGGAGGAGACCGTTGTGGCCTCTGAGGATTCTGACAAGCCTAAGGTCGAAGAAATCGACGAAGAAGAAGAATCTGAAGAAAATAAAAAGCCTTCCGTCAAGAAAATCAAAGAAAGCGTTTCCGAATTTGAGCAGCTTAACAAAGTGAAGCCCATTTGGACACGTAATCACGAGGACGTCAAGCCTGAAGAATATGCTGCCTTCTACAAAACCTTGACCAATGACTGGGAAGATCATCTCTCTGTGAAGCATTTTTCGGCAGAGGGACAGCTTGAATTCAAAGCAATCCTCTTTGTCCCCAAGCGCGCGCCGTTTGATCTTTTCGAGCAGCGCAAGAAACGCAACAACATCAAGCTTTACGTTCGCCGTGTTTTCATCACCGACGACTGCGAAGACTTGATCCCGGAGTGGCTTAATTTCATAAAAGGAGTTGTTGACTCTGAGGATCTTCCTCTCAACATTTCCCGTGAAATGCTTCAACAGAACAAGATTCTCAAAGTTATTCGCAAGACTCTTGTAAAGAAATGTTTGGAAATGTTTAACTCCATCTCCGAAAACAAGGAGGATTACAAAAAGTTCTACGAAAACTTTGGCAAAAACATCAAGCTTGGCATCCACGAGGATTCTGCCAATCGCGAAAAGCTTGCCGAGCTTTTGAGATTCAATTCAACCTATGCCCGTGATGAAATGACATCCTTGAAGGATTACGTTGCCCGCATGCCAGAATCACAAAAGAATATTTACTACATCACCGGTGAGTCTCTTAAAGCCGTAGAGAATTCTCCCTTCCTCGAGGTGTTCAAGAAAAAGAATTTCGAGGTTCTTTTCATGGTTGATCCCATCGATGAGTATGCCACTCAACAGTTGAAAGACTTTGAGAGCAAGAAGCTGGTTCTCATCACCAAAGAGGGCCTTGAATTAGAAACAACCGAAGAAGAAAAGAAACAAAAAGAACAGGAAGTTAAGGAATACGAGTCCTTCTGCGTCACCCTCAAAGAAATTCTTGGGGATAAAGTAGAAAAGGTTGTGGTCTCCGATCGTGTTGTCGATTCCCCATGTGTTCTTGTATCTGGCCAATATGGTTGGTCTGCAAACATGGAACGCATAATGAAGGCCCAGGCTCTTCGTGAATCTTCAATGTCTACCTATATGGCCAGTAAAAAGACCCTTGAGCTCAATCCGAGACACCCCATTGTTCGCTCTTTGAAAGAGAAATTCGAGGCCGATAAGAATGACAAGACCATCAAGGATCTTACTTTCTTACTTTTCGAGACCTCCCTTCTTTCCTCTGGATTTTCAATCGAAGACCCATCGGCGTATGCTACCAGGATCCATCGTATCATCAAATTTGGCCTTAACATTAATGAGGATGATGTTTCGGTGGTTGAAGATAATATTTCCACATCTGCCAATGCATCCGCCGTTGCCGCTGCTGAATCCAAGATGGAGGAAGTAGACTAAACTCCTACTGTTTCTTTCTTTCTTTCTAATAAATATTTTATAATCGACCTGTTAGGCTTTCCCCTCCAAACACACATGATATGGATGGAAGAATGCGGATGGTGGGTGGTACCAAAAGCTTTATTTCTGACGGATACATTTGCCAGCCTTTATTTAGAGTTTGCTAACATAGGGGGGAGTAAGGTCTTTATTTTGCTTGATCTTGTCATTGTGAGATAGATAAACAACCATTTGGACCTCCTTTTTTTCAAAGCCACATTTCTCATAAAATGGCACATTGCTATCAGAACAATCAAGGATGACCTTGTAACAACCCACAGCATCGGCTATATGTTTTAACTGCTCAATAATCCTAGCATTTAAGTGGTCAAACACAGACAGGTACCATTTGCCAAAATTATTTCCACGATACTCCTTCAACGAAACGATATCTTCAATGTGACCAACCAATCCATTTTGGTGGATGAACTTGTGCTCAATGAAAACGGTGCCAGCTGCCGCGATTTTGGGCAGCGATGAGGTAGTATCTTCAATAACTACAACATAATAGTGGTTGGCATTTGATTTGTTCTGATAAAATCTCTCTACGACATAAAAACATTAGATCGGTGAAAGCTATACGTAGAAACTCCTCCCTGGTTAATTTTCCCACAACGGTCAGGTGAGACAGGCATTCCAGAAATCCTTTTCCATTAGCGAACAGACCAAACCTTTATCAAAATCAGAGGGCGCAAGGGGTCGGATAAAAAACCCATGCGGTAGAGAATCCTGTATTTGCTTGCTAATTAAAGAACAGGGGAACATAAACGCATCCATAAGCTATTGATTGAATAACAATAGAACGTATCGAGGTTGATTGATTGATTTTAAATGTACAAAAAGTTGATATTTACACTAGGGTTGGTGCTTGTTTTTGTGGGCGACAAATAATTGGAGGGCGAATATTTTTTAAAAAACAAATGGCTCAGGGCTTGTTTGGCCGAAATCCGCTTTTCTGGATTTACTTGAAGCAGCTTTGATAAGAAGTCAATCAGGAAAAAATCTTTGATTTGCAATACCCTTGAGAGGTATGCTTTTATATGCATGCCATATATGTCTTTGATGGTGTTGCAATACGTTGACCGCGAATAATCGGAATATTGGAGCTCCGATAGAAAGGGCTTTCCACAGATAATCTCAAACAAGATGCACCCGAGGGACCACATATCTATTGATGGGGTCAATTCAGAAAAACTGGTCATAACCTAAAAAGCACATAAAAAACCAAGCCAAACCAACCTCGGGCGCTCTGTATAAAATTGGCTGAATCGGGGTGTCCTTGTCGACAAACTTGAGGTCGTTAATGGTTAAAGAATTTCCAAGGTCAATAATGTATGGCCTTATTGGCATATTGGTAGCAAAGGAGCCAGAAATACTACACGCCATCATGACGTTTTCTGGCTTGAGATCGCCATGAATGATCCCAAAAGAATGTAAAAAGGACAACCCGCGTACAAGATGTGCACTAAAATCGCCAAATAAGTACAAGTCTTTCGTGTATTCTGGCATGAATGGTGGAATTGGAGCCAAAAGCGTTTGAACCATGCAGATATATCCTGGAGGAAGGAAACAGGAGCAGATAAGCTGGATCAGGCCTGGTTGTGGGGCACGCGTCATCTTTAAGGAAAGCCAGCGGAGTAAGGTGGATTCCTAATCAGGTTAGATGGCGAACGCTTGTACCCGAGTGGCGATGTCAAAACAATTTAAATGAGAAATTTTGATCGCAACCTCTTTGCCACAATAAGAATCGATGGCAGAAAAAGCAACAGAATGGCTGCCAACCCCAATTTTGGAAGTGATAGTAAATCTAGAAAAAGAAATTTTAAATGGCGATTGGCAACTGTTGCATTGCTCGATCACATTGAGGGGAAGATATCCTAAACAATGGGTGGATTGAATTAAAACCTAAATTATGGCATTTTGTACATGTCGCTTCATTTCCCCTGCCAGAGTTGAGCATGGCAAAATCTTCACTACAAGAAAAGAGCAACTTTCTCAATACGTTTCCGATAGGGGGCAAAATAATTTGAACATCGCAAACAGGCTGCCCCATCGAAAAATCGGCAAACACAATTGGGGTTTAATTTAAAAAAGTTTATTGATAAACCACCCCTAACCTAACCCTAACCCTACCATAGGATCGGGGAGTATATGTATCTACAAAACAGCACGCTAATAATGACTGAAGAAATCCTTGCGATCAAATCGATCTCTTGAAAAGAGCCGATAAGAACAAATTCTGTAGCTAAATGGGAGAGCACAACAAAGATCAGCAGATGGGAATATGCGTGCAAATCGAACGTCAGGGATTGTGCCGAAAGTAGCACGTTAATTATCTTCATTGACAAGAACATGGGCGACCCGCCTGATGGCGGTAACGCTTCAAAGGTGACATTTTGGTTGCGAAAAAGTTGACATACTAGTCTGCATGAGAGATAGACTAATACATGGAAAAAAACAAAGTATGTAAGGAACGAGATCTTGTCAACGAAAAAGCTATTGCACGCCGGGGCATCTGTGTAATATGTTGACAGCGTATATAACGAATGTAAAAAGGATGGATGCACCCAGGGCCAGCTGATCAAGTTAAGAATGGAATACGGGAATCTGGAGGAGCAGCACCTGTTGATCAAGCTATTCTCCTGAAAAAACGGGAGCTTGGTAAAAACAAATACACCAATCGAAAACAGGTGCAGGATAAAAAGTAAGTCAATCGATCCAATTGAATCTGACAACGAGCTAATCGGATAGAAATCTTTTAAGGGGGTTGAGCAATCAAACTCTAATGTCCAGCTTGGAAGGCAAAGGCAATTAGAGCTTCCAACAAAAATACCTAAAATACGTCAGTAATGATGACAATAGCTCCTACCTCGGTTAGAGCAAAGACTGGTGTTCCAATAGTTTTGAAAAGACGAAGCAGTGGGCAGTAAAAACCAGTGATTAAAAATTCCCAAATATAAACGAGAATTTGCGCATGCAGGGATGATCATACGCGCAAATCTTTCAGGCAATAAAATAGCCAAGGGCGATTGAGAGGTTTGACTGAAATTGGCAATGGAAAAAATATAAAAATTGAGGAAGTTAATCGATACTACAGAATTTTCCATAAGTGAGGCAAAAGTAGATGCCCCCTTTATGGGCTTTATCGCAACAAAGGATTCATAGCAGGGATTTGTCGAAAAAAGAACCGCTAGTGTAAGAATAATAGCGGTGAAGGAAAGGCTTATTTTATTTAGCATAAAAAAATTACGCTCCCGGGTGGGCTCGAACCACCAACCTCACGGTTAACAGCCGTGCGCGCTAACCAGTTGCGCCACGGAAGCATACTTCGCACAAAAGTATTTTATATAAATTTGTATATTATTTTTTAATACCGCATGCCAAGATGGTTTTGTCTTCAAATTAGCCTAAATGGATGAGCTTGCAAAAGTTTTATCTTTCATTGATGAACGAAAGAATTTTGCAGCTGCAAAGTCGGTTCTAAAATCTTCGAAATGTCCAGGAAAAATTACTAAAAGCAATAATCAAGCCAAACAGCGGCAATCGTCTCTTTTGAGTATGTTTCCAAAGTGTATTGAAGAGGAAGAAGAATCGGTCCTCGTTGCGCTCTCTTTATCTATGCAAGACCAAGGTAGAAGACAAATGAAGGGGAAGTATTCTTCGAATGATAGCCAAGTTTCTGGCGTACTACTTCCACACGAAGCGCAAGCTATTTCTACAACTCGTTTATTAACTATTCTAAAGTCATCAAGCAAACCATTCGATGTTCAAAAATTTAAGCGTTTAGAAATTGATAACTCTGATGGTAAGAAAATGCCGCATTTCCGATTGCCAAGGGAATGAACTAAAAGTTTGGCCCTTTTCTTATTGATCTGACAAATGACTTGGGATCAAGATTTCCAGGATCAGAAAGTATTCTTCTATACGCTTCAAGGACATGGCTAGGTAATAGAGGATTGTCGCTTTCCCCCCATTGTGCAGAGACTTCAGAGGCAGCCTCCACCAATTCTCCAACAAACACTTTGGACATTCCAGCAGCAATCATGATCATATTGGGATTGACGGAGGTTCCCAAAAAGGACTGCATCCACTAAATGGGTAAATTAATCGAATGTGCACCCTTTTCATGACAGGCCTTGGGATGGCTGATTGTCTAAACTTTTCATATCTTTCTCTTTGCTGGGGTGTAAGCAGCGGAAATGCCAATCGCAGCCGCTCTTTTGCAGCGTCTATTTTTGCTCTGATGCGTTCTTGAGAATCGCCACCACCCGAATAAATTGATCCCAAAAGAGCAGACACATCCTCATTAAAAAATCCCTCGTCATCCTCATCCTGGTCAGCAGATGTTGAGTTAGGTCCAGATGCCGTACTCGATGACATTTGTTGCGCGCGATCTTCTGCATTTTGCGAAGGAATAGTGGCTCTTTTCTTTAAGAGTGGCAACAAGACACCCTCGCTACTCAATAGTGTGTTGGGGGCCTGCGTCAGAAGAGATTCTCTAAATTCGGAGGAGATGCTTGCATCTAACTCTGAAAGATCTTCCGATTTTGACGTTTCATAAATAGGCATCGTATCTTGTGCCAAGATTGGAATCTTCCGCTTCCCACCACGCTTCCTGGTATTTCCCATGGACACGAGCTAAAAATTAAAATTTAGAAATTGTTTATTTTCAATCAAGGTTCCTAGTATGTGCCCTTGCTTCTTCGAGCACCTCCTTTAAAAGATCCTCTGGGATGTACTCATGGCGCCCCTCGGTGGCATCGCATATCCAAGATATTTCTAGCTCAACTCGTTTTTCATGGTCGCCTTTTTGTGCTGCCTCCATTAATCTAGATATGGTCAACACATGTTATGGCGTACATTTTCGAGACCAGTTTGACAGCCTCTAGAGCGCTCAACGACTTTGGTTCGAGCTTTTCAAGTTCGGAACGGGCATGTTGTCGTCCCATTCCAATTGCACATGCAAAATATCCATAAGATTGCCCGGAGGGTTCAATTAAAAATAGCTGGTACGGCTGGGGGTCGCCAATTTTTTGCGAATAGGCTCCCAGTAAGGCGGCCGATCCAAATGGCCTGGCCCCAGAATAAACGGTGTGGGCTTGGGAAAACAATGCAATCCTCTGATTTAACACCTATAGCAGAATAAGGAGTTTCACGCTACTCTTGGTGGGATGGGTTCATCAGTGAGAGCCCTGTAGGACTTGCATTCTTCCCTTGCACGATTGACCAATTGACGGCAATCCGGAAGATGGCCACTGGCAACCTATAAATGTAAATATATTAAAAAAAAGTTCAACACTACAATTCCGGCATTGAGATCGACATGGGAGATTCTCTTTTGCTTTTCGGTGATAATTAATTTAGTGGTCGGTCTTTTCTCTGTTGCCAGAACAACGCCGTCCTTCGCTACGATTCCAATGCATGTTGGCCCATCATCGACTGCCTTTTGGGCATACTCGACTTGGAATATGCGACCTTCTGGAGAAAATATAGTTGCAGAAAGGTCATACTACAGTTGATCATTATCGTGTGCTTACGCCAGATCCGATTGTACTCATGTAATTAAAATTTGGCTTTAAATTGTGTGTTTTGAATTTTAAATTGAAACCTCCGCTCCCCGCCCAGTGTAATGTCTTCTCAGGACAGATCATTTTTGACGCTCAGCCATCTTTCATCTCGCATGCTTCAGTTCCACTCACAAATTCAAGAGCTTTCAAAATTAAACAAGCAGCTCAGTGAGTTTAATCGCGTTTTTGCATCGTTCCTTCTTTCATTGCAGCTAACTTCTACCGGAGTCAAAATCGAATATGCGCAGCCCAAACTACAAGCTCCCAAAAGCACTGCATCCATCGAAGATAGAAATGAAGTTTCTCTGAAACCCCCACCAGTTCTTTGCGATGCAACATTTACAGAAAACGAAGCCACTGCCCAGCCTCCTATTGTGGCAACTGAAAAGGCAGCAGGAAAGTCGAAAAAACTAAATGTTACTTTTTCTTCCAAAATCCAGACCTCAACACCGTATTCATCGTCCAATTGTGCTGCAACTTCGGCCTCTTTCCCGGCGCAGCAATTGAGAAAAGACCAAGCCGCCTCTGCCGCCATCAAAAAAGTATGTCTCTCTCTTCCGCTTCATATGCGTACCCCTGGGTTCTTAGCCGAAGCAGAATCGATAATCCGATTTTTGATCAAATCACCGACTGGAGAGTATGGGATGAGTTTTTATTGTAGATATATAAATGACATCTTGACTGGATCTGGCGTTGAAAAGCACCGTGTGATGCAGTATTTGAATTTGTTGATTCGATCAAATGACATTGTCAAGGTTAGCAAAAAGGTATCTTCTATTGTTTCACTTAAATTAAGGGATTACTATATCAGCTGAATCCGGAAAAGTACCATTTTTAACGCCAAATACAAGCTCCAAAAAGTATATGTAGCGCTTTTAACTTCTCGATCAAGAATTTCCTTAAAGACGCGATGAAGTTTAATACAAAATAAGTAGAAAAATAAGATTTGCAACTCTTATTGCTTTGGAATAGCATTATGAAAGGCTGCATTAGACATACCATGTGGGTTTTGTAACATCATGGCTGGTGGTGGTGGTGGTGGGAGAGAGAAATTTTGGCGAAGGTTCATGAACATTGGTGGAGGCGGTGGCGGTGGCATACCCATCATCATCAAGCCGGGATGGAATACTGGTGTGGGGGGAGGCGGGGGCATTTGCATGGGCGCCCCTGCTGGGACGATGGGCACCATGCCACTCAAGTCATCTGGGTTTCCAACTGCGACGGCAGGTCTCAGAGATGAGGAGGAAATCAGCCCGGCACCCCAAGCAGTTTGGCCCGGTGGCAGCATTGTGGGCGGGGAAGGCGGGATTTCTACATAAAACATGAAGCATTACCTTCAGCATCTGCATATGCCCTATAAATGGTATCAAGCTGCATTTGTAGTTTGCTTGCATGCTCTACAGACGTTATAGATCAGAAAAATATGGTACCCATAAAGTATGTTTTCACATTTGAGCAATGTTTCCACCCAGAATTATGGTCTCGCCGCACTCGAATGGCATCATGGGTCAGGTATATGTCACAATAGTCACAGTAGTATTTGGGCATTTGATTAAAAAAATTTAGAAATTTTAAACTTTATGGCTGAAAAAGTTGCGGTTACTGTGGTGCATGGCGGAAAATCCGACATTGCCGGCTGGCCAATGCAGCCGCTTTAAACTGGTGTTGCACGTATTGAATTGCCTTTTGCCTTTTGAAAATGAAGCTCATTTTTAACCTGATAGAAAAGTTGGACGAGGCCATTGGTGAACGTATTGCATGAGAGTAGAGATAATTCGTGTTTTGAGGCAAGTCCGTTACACAATGCAATCCCGCTACCAAGAAAAACAGGATGGATTGTCAAAATCAAGTCATCAACAAGACCAGCATCTAGCAATTCGCTATTAAGGCAAGACCCGCCAACTATCCAAATATTTTTTCCAGGCTCCAGCTTCGTTTTCTTGACAAAGTCGATCGGATTTTCATGTACTAGCTGTACACTGTCATCGTTTAACTGCTCGAGCGTCCTACTAAACACGTAGTTTTTCTTCCCTGGAAATACCGGACCATATGCCTTTGAAAATTCGTATGTGTTTCGACCCATAATTGTAACATCAATCCCATTAAGGAATTCCGAAAATCCCAAATCACTGCCGCGATATTTTTCCGTAAATAGCCAATCCAATTCGTGGTTGGTTCCAGAAATCAAGCCGTCAGCCGTGCAAGCAGTATAAATCGTCACTCTTCTTACCATCAATTTCAAATAAAATCTGCTTTTATATGCTGACCTAAATGTACACATGTTTAGTTGTCTCCGTAAAAAGCAAACAGTACAGTAGCTTGGGCTTGTGTCCGCTTATTGATGTCCCTTGCGACTATTAGAACTTTATTGAATGCCTGTTTTTACTTTGGTGAACCGGAGTCTTCACATAATCAAGAATTTTAGCTCCAAGCTTTGGTTTACAAAAGTGGATCGATGTGCAATTTAATGAAATGAATTTATTTGCAATTTTTTAATGAAATTTGTTCTTGATAAATTTTCTGTTTTATCCATTCGGCACATCTATGTAAAGCCTGAACGGAGAATAGAAGGAAGTGCCAATATTTATCGAAAAAGCCGCGAAGATAAAGCTAGAAGAGTAGCACTCGCCGCGATGCCTGCAGTCCCTCAAGTTTCTATAGATTTTAGGAAAAAGTTTTTAGATTGTTTATATAGTGAGAAGAGCTGGTGGAGAACTCTGCCTGAAAGAGTAGACTATTCTGATGTTGTTAAAGAGCTTTCGTCTTGTAAGGGTCCAAATGCACCACCTTTATCTTGGAAACTGATAAAATAAAATAACTGCAACTACAACATGACTCGCCTTCCTAATAAGCCGTTTTTGAGCAGCCTGGTGAAAACAACAAGGGCAGCAGTAACCATTGGCACCGAAATTAGTCGAATCCAGGATGGCCATCGCCTTTTCGCTTTAAGATTTGAAAACGGACGATGCGAGAGCGATTCAACCAATGTCATAAGGTCCGCAGGGCTTGGTCTCCAGGACTCAATCCGATAAAGCGATGCATTGAGAGACGAGATGGACGAAAGCGAGCCTTCAATGGCAACTGTATAATATTCATTTAGAAGCTGCAGATTTCCGCCTTTGTGATTAGTAGACCCCAACAGCGATTGTGAAATAAGGCTCTTAAGCCTAACTTGCCGCTGCTCCAAAATGCCTTCAAAAAGGTAGAAAAAATCCTTTTCCAACCGAAGGAGAGCACCGTCCGAAATTAGATACTCAGCAAGAGATTGAAGAAATAAAAAATAAAACTTTCGCGTGGTCAATGTACATTCAAGTGCGCCAAACAAACAAGTGAAACAAAATAAATACAAGAAAGAAAACATGCTCCGCACGTCAAAAGCCAGTTTCTTGTCAAATGGCTTCCAGAACGAACCGGGAGCGTCTCTATATATTTGTAGAAGGATGGCAGTGACCTTTGTCGAAATATAATCAATGCTTTTGACAAAGAGAGCGCTTGATTCTCGAGTCATAAGAACATCAGAAGAAACTGTGCCAAGATCGATAATCCATTGGGTGACCAGATCGTTACAAGTCGTGCGGTGATGATCTGCTTGCATGTAGGGAAGCCAATCCTGGCATCCTCGCTCTGCAAACCCAGGACTCCTCTTTTCAAGTTTTGAGTATAGAAAATCAACATACTCAAGAACACTTGGGCGAAGGTCTTTCGAGCCCATTTTATCTTCACCATTAGACGTAGGTAAGGGCGATATGCTGCCGATATCATCGGCCAATATGGAGGCAAAATTATTGTCAAATGTGGAATTGAAATCCAAAGTCAATGACTCGGCCTTAAGAGCGCCATTTTTATTATCACTTGCGACATTAGGTTCGTCATTGAAGAGGCTTGAGCTGGAATATATCAAGCTAGAGGTAGACGACATGCTTAGTAAAAAATATCCAAATTAATGCCAAGTTTTACGAATTTAATCTTTCAAGTCCATTAGCAACATTGAAGACTCGGCCGTGCATGGGTCCTTTCGAGGCATCCGTACAAAGGGATAAACCGGATGCTCTGGGGCTGTGTTTTCTGTACAATTACGCATCGAATCGGCCGTCACAAATTTCAAGAAATCTTTGGCCGATCTCGACGGGATTCTATAGGATTGGAGGTCCTTCACGGGAAGCACAACGGGGTCATCTTCTGTAATCACAGGAGGTAGCCCCATTGCGGCACGAACCTCAGCAAGAAGTAATTCCGTGTGTGGATCGTTGTTGTGCAGATTTTCAATTTCGTAAAGGAAATATCGCTTGGAAAAGTGGTTCAAGTATAGGGCTCGTGGGGCCACTGCCTTTGCAAATGCCCCTGCCATGGAGGTTGTGGAGTGCATTGTCATCTCTGCTCGAAGTCTTTCACATCCGAGAAACGTACATTCGTGGATGAGGGCATCGGAGTATCTGAAAAATTAATAAATAATCGAATTGGCAGACAAAAAAGAAACAAGCAAGGTTGGTCGTCACATACCGAGCCAATTGAAGAATGCTCCACGGATGCGAGGTGTCTCCAAGAATCGAAATTTTCCTGGGAACACATGCCAATGAGTGTGCCTTTTCGAAGATCACATACCCAAGGCAAAAGGTGGAATGTTTAATTGGCATCGCAATGACTGCAAAATCTTGATCTTGATAAGCCACATACGTCGAGCTTTCCACGCTCGAAGGGCAAACATATCTGTGCATGGCATTAGATTTGAAGTTACTGGGTGGCGTTTTTTCTGCAGGGACTATTTCAACAAAAGAAACTTGTCTTTTCATGTCATAAGCATTTAAAAAGGGCGAAAGCAGGTCATAGATACCAAGAGGGCCAACCACAGTTACCTTTTCTAAAAGTAAACAAACAAAACAACAACCTTGGCACAATTTGACAAGCGCAGGAAGTCCAAGGAAATGGTCCTCATGAAGATGCGTAATAAAGATAACAGAGGGCCTCAACAACGCAATCGGCGAGGAAAGGAGCTGGCGAACGGTCCCATCTCCACAATCAAAAATCCAAAGGGTGTCCGACCCAAGCTTGATTCCTAAATGCAAAAGGGTTAAACTAAATAGATACCTAGAGATGAAGTTGAGCGAGTGGAGGTCGGTGTGGCGGAAGATGTTCCTAGAAAGCAGACGGAAATTTCCTTCTGGTATTTTGGAATCGGCGTGATGGGAATTCCTGTTGGAATCTTCCAGAGCATTTTTTCTACCACGGTTCTGGTAGAAAAAGAGGCCTGACAAAATAATGCGGGTCGAAATGCCTTCCACCACCAGCAGCGCTGCATTAATTAAGTTGAGTGAATTTTTTGTCGCTTTAAAATCAAAAAAATTGATAATTTTTTTCATCCCAAACATGAATTACAGCCAAGCGAGCCCATTCTGGCCGCTTGGTCGCAAGCGATCGGAGGTTGATAATGCCCAAGTAACCAATAGCCTCTTAGTCTTCCTCTGTACGAGCTAATGCTTAGCAGTGTTATCCAGCAAATGAAACGAAATGTCACATCTGTTCAGGAGCTCGAAGAAAAGTACCCTTTGTTTGCCGTTGATTTTTAAAGGTTGCACGAGCTCGGGCAAACCATCGGGTACTCCCTTGCAGAGATCTTTTTCTGGAAGGAGCGCAGTGGAAGAAGAGATCAACAGCTCCTTCCATTGCTGCTGCGCATAAAAAGCTCTTTTTGGAAAGAGTTCTTTGGGGTTCCTGCCGATGCCCTTGAACGATCTCTGGAAAAGGATAACGAATGTATGCTGGTGCTGATGCTCATGGATTTAGTTATGCTGATGGACGAGAATCCAGTTCTATTTAGAAACATGTCTCTTCCCAGAGATTTGCTCTCGTTTAATCCCTGCGCCTGGATTGCAGGAATGCTACAGGCCATGATAACTTCGTGCGGATTTGTACCATCCAATGGTTAATTTGTAGAAATGCTCCGTCAGTGCACACAGATCCAGCGAAAATTTCTCGGAGAACATAGAAAATATTGTATATTTAATTCAGGTAGATCCTGGCCTCCTTGTGCAGGGGCTGATTGAATAGCATATTTATGGCCCATTTAGGAACAATAAACAACCGGCTACTTGCCAAAAGCAACTCATTGCACACCAATTATGACGTACTGAGGATCGGAAACATAAGTACGCCAATGGCTGGGTCCAGTTTTCAAGCAGCAGGCTAGCCCATTTATGATGCTTGCACGGCATTCTTGGGCAAAGTGCTTGGGTTTGGGGTACCTATTTATTGAGAGATTCCAGAAACTGGTCCATCAGCAAAAGATATGGCTGCAAATGATCACTTCCGTTCTCTTTGGAAAGGATCGAATGGATGGTCGGCACCATGTCGGGATCAAACTTGTCAATCAAAGCCGGGTCTATGGGAACGCATATCTTTCCGGTATCTGGATGCACGCAAAATGGTGCTTTGAGCAGATGGTTCAATCCAATTGAAACATTGGAGTCTAGCCGCGGATAGAGACGGTGCAAAATAAATTCTTCCGCCAGATGGGAGCGCTGCTTTTTCTCCGAAGTGCAAAGCTGCTGCACAATCGTCTTCCACCGCTCGAGCGGATCGCATATTTTCTCTTTTTTCCACATTTCAATCAGGCCATTTGGTGCGGGGCAAAGGCCGGAAAGTGAGGTGGCGAGATCTGTATTCTCAACATCCTCAGAGAGAAGCTCTGGTAGGATCTTTTGCTTGAAAATCGGAGACACAAGAGAAAGCGCACGCTTGATCATCGGGTGGGACTCTACTGCAGAACTATTATTGTAGCTGCCGCCATTAGAGACGCTGTAATTCGCGCCATTACCGGATGTTTTACCAGCAGAACGGCTTATTTCAATATATGAGACGATGGCCTTGCGCAAACCCGAGTCTAGTGTGCGAGCACGCTTATCGGCAACCCAGCAATGTATTCCTCTTCTTCCTGAAAATACCCAGAGGATGCTAACAAATCCAAAGTCCATACGGAGAATGGCATCGAGAACCTTTACAGCAGCAACGATGTATTGCCAGCATTTGATGCACATTTTCTTGTTTTGACAGCATTTTCGTATGTCATCATAGTCTGTCAAGTCGATGTCAAAGACAAGCTCGCGCTCGATAGCCGAAAACGAGGCTGGCATCAGCGATTTTTTTTCTGATGGCTACAAAGTACCGGTTAAGCGAATAAAAATGGCAAACACAAGATGGTGCACAAATGGCGCATGGCCGATGCGAAAAAGTATCCAATTAAATCGTAAAAACAATAAGCAGCGAAAATGTTGACTTACTCTTGCAGAATAAATGGCACCAATATCAATCTTGATGGGCTTTGCTTGCACAATGCGTTCTCGCATATCCGCTTCCCCCAAAAAGGAAAGGAAGCGAATGTATGTTTGATTAGCCAAGGTCATTGAAAACTCCCTTCGTGTAAAATATGGCCCCTTTACACCTAAACATGAGTTTGACGTAAAAACCTTCTATTCCATATGAGAGCCAACGGTAAATTCTATCAAACGGATAAAACTTTGAGTAGAACATCAGCAGGCATTCTTCCATATCCAGCTGAGAATAGTCCATCATCAAGAATTCGTTCGGCCTTGCCACAACGGGTGTCATCGCCGTTGGAGATGGGTCCGATGGTGTCGATGAAGATGCCCAGTTGTGCTGAAAAGCAGCAGCCTCAATGCCCTCCATGCCGGTCGCCTGCATTGAAGTAAAACCGCCAAATATTAAACGGCAACTTGATTAAATTGTAAATTTTGCTTCAATGTCCTCATCGCCGATCGTATATCCTACATCGTCGTCTTCCGTTGCTGATGACCTTGAAAGTGATGCCATGCTCTTGGTCAGCTCTATGGATATACCTTCTTCGTTTGATTCCTCGGCCTATCGAGGCGGGCAGACACCGCCCATGACTGGGGCTACAGATCACTACTTTCCCAGCTCCGATTTGGGCAGTGACCATCCTCAACATCATCAGCGTATGGGGACAGGGGCACATGCACGGCACAGGACAGAAACCTTTCCCGAATCCTTGTATTTTGCCATGTTTTTATCTGCATAGACGTTCGCGAAGACACGACATTGGAAGCGCTGCTTTTAATCCGGGTCTTTTTCACGAATCCACATATTCTTCCCACGAAAATGGCGCGTCGCAGCCCGCATCTGACAATCACCAAACAGCAAATGGCGATGTAGGGATCAATGACGCCGGCCAAAATGCAGTCAATGTGGATCTCAATGCGCCGGAAAAAATGTTGATTGTCTGGGGCACCAATATCATCGTCAAAGACGTCGTTGCGGCTTTTAGAGATTTTTTGGAAAATTTTACGCTTGCACATTTACCTAGCGTCGATGGCGCTTCTGCACAGGCGGAGCCATTGGCAAATCGCTTTGAACCTTTCTATCCCCGGCTGTTGTCCTATTTGCATGCCATCGAATCCAGGTAAGCATGCGCTTTGATTTTACGCGCTACAGATTCCTCAATTTGGATGGGCGAAATTTACGTGCTTATCACCCTACGCAAACCCTCTTCGATCAACTGCTGGCACATCCGCAGGAGATGATTCCAATTATGGATATGACGGTGAACGAGCATTTTTTAGAGCTTTTTCCGGATGCGAACGACATCATTAACAATCCGATCCAAGTATTGATGTCTGTTTTGATATCCATCTTTAGGTGCGCCCATTTAACGTCGACCGCCATGTCAACTTGAGGGAGCTCTCGCCCTCAGATGTGGACCAGCTTGTCACAATCAAAGGCCTGGTTATTAGGACATCCGCAATTATGCCAGATATGCGTGCAGGTTTTGCTTCTTGGGTTGGTAAATTTAGGCTTTTTCAAATGCACCTCGTGCGACCACACAGTTACCGTTGATAACGTCAAGGGAAAGATCGCAGAGCCCTCAAAATGTCCTCGGCCCGAGTGCGGGGTTTCCAACTGCATGGTTTTGATCCACAATCGATGTATCTTTTCTGATAAACAAATTGTCAAAGTTCAAGAGACGCCAGGTTCGTTTTTCATGTTTAGCTTTAGATTCGGTTCCCGATGGGCAAACTCCACATGCGGTTACCGTTTGCGTGTATGACTCTCTGATTGACATGACACGCCCTGGTGACCGCGTCGAGATTACTGGGATTTTTAGGGTCTCTCAAATTAGAGCCAATGTGCATCAGAGAAGAATCAAAAATATCTTTCGAACGTACGTTGACGTGGTGCACTTGAAAAAAACAGATCCCGCTAGGGTGGATGTTTCTTCGCCAGATACGATTTCTGAGGAAGATTTTGCAACCCAAGGTCGCTGGGCAGAGTTAGATTCCCTCCGGGTGCAGAGCGAGGTCGGTTTTGCTAGCGAAGTTCTTGCCATTGCAGCGGACCCAAATTTATACTCGCGTCTTTCCAACTCCATCGGTAATTTCTATCCCATAAAGATCATAGCGCCCTCAATATGGAAGATGGACACCGTCAAGAAATGCTTGCTTTTGCAGCTATTTGGCGGGGTCTCAAAATCGCTCAAGGCCGGCGCCGCAAGATTCAGGGGCGATATCAATGTGTTGATAGCTGGGGACCCCTCTGTCAGCAAGTCGCAGCTATTGCAGTTTGTTCACAAACTGGCACCACGAGGCATTTATACTTCAGGAAAGGGCTCGTCTGCCGTCGGTCTCACCGCATATGTGACCAGGGATGTGGAAACCGGGCAATTTGTTTTGGAAAGCGGTGCCCTTGTTCTGTCTGACGGCGGCATTTGCTGTATTGATGAGTTTGACAAAATGAGCGACAGCACGAGAGCAGTTCTGCATGAAGTGATGGTAACAAAGAGGAGTTCATTTGCGCTAGGAACAACAAACGATATCGGTTGCAAAGGCTGGCATCATCACTACCCTGAACGCCCGTACTTCGATCCTTGCTGCAGCCAACCCAATTGACTCCAAGTACAATTCAGAAAAATCCATCATCGAGAATTTGAATTTACCGCCCAGTCTTCTTTCACGGTGTTGTTTCCTGTCTTATGTTTAGCTTTGACCTGATTTGCTTGGTTTTAGATCGACCGGATGAATCTAACGATATACAACTGGCACGCCACATCGCCTCATTGCATGTGGCCGTTGAAAATGATTCAAACTCTGGCAATTCGGCTTCCTCTTCACTTGCTGCATCCAGTTGCCCGCTGGTATGCAAGGTCTCCCTTATCATTCTAGGATGTTCAAACAATGGCAAGGTACATTTCATATGCACGAAAGTACGTAAATCCCGTTCTTTCCGATGAGGCCATCAAGCTTTTGGCTGATGGGTACATTTCGATGCGAAAAGTAAATACCCCAAGCGGATCGTCATCCTCATCAGCTGGAGGTGCCCCGAAGACGGTCTCTGCAACGACTCGTCAGTTGGAATCCTTGATCAGGCTTTCGGAGGCGCATGCACGTATGAGGTAGGTTGGTACAATTGATCACCAGGCTTTCGCAATCCGTTGAGCGGTGCGACGTCGAGGAAGCCATTAGATTGGTAAAGAGCGCCATTCTCTCATATGCTCTCGACCCGGTGACCGGGAAAATCGATATGGATCTAGTCAACACAGGACAGAGTACATCTTTGAGGGAACGGGCAGCTGCTCTCAAAAAACAAGTACAGGCGCTGTTTAGCGGCCCAGGAAAAGCTGGAATGGATTTATCCTCCCTATACAAAGCCATTTCAGAGCAGTCATCAGTATACGTACATGAACGGCTACTTAGAGAAGTTGTACGCGAGCTTATCGTTGAAGAATGGCTGATGATTGCCTCATCCGGAGCTCATGCAGGCCCTGCTCCCGGAAATTCGCTTCGTTCTACAACCATTTTGAAGCGCCTGGAGTGATTGATAAATAAACAACAGGTTCATAACCATCTGTCCATTTTGTATACACAAAGAGCAGGCTTTGATGCGTTATAAGCAGATCCCGAGACCAGCGCGAAACAATAGAAAATTGGCGAGATCCTTTTAACCTTGACCCTATGGCACAAGCTCTAAGGCGGCTGTAATTGGCCCATGTTATTAAAACGGTGACAAGCCACTGGTTGGCAGAGGAATGAACGGGATTTTAATTGTGAAGGTCGGAATCCTTATGGGTTTCGCCTTGCTATGATTATTTATTCAAATTCGCGTGCCTTTGTACACGGAGCTGCTGGGAATCAATTTGACGCATACACAAGCTCGTGTGGCAATAAGATTCAGGCAAATAGCGCTGCTGAAACGCGAGAAAATGGTCATGTAAAAACACAAAGCACGCCCACTGAAAGATGCAAGGCTTGAACCAGATTTACCAGAAAAGTCTTCAGTGCAGCGCTTTTAAAATGCTCCGAGCCAATAACGCAGCAGCGCAAGCACACACGTAGGGCTTATGCTCTTTTAACTCCCAAACTTGAAAAAGAGGGGCAAAAGAGTATGTTTGACGGGTACTTGTTTCTTCTAGATAAATCTAGCATCCAAGTTTCGCTTTTCGAACGGTCTTTTGAGGTGCGAAAACCATTTAGAAAAAGTGACTAAATAATATGCCCTGAAAAGCATGCAAAAAGCCTTGTTAAGGTATACAAGTTTATGGGAAGTCTAGTCACTTTAACCAACGAGCATGTCAAAATCGAGAAAGAAGGTGCATTTCAAGATATGAATTTAAGGCTATATGCTGCAAATGAGCATTGTTCTATCAAGGTTCTGGAATGGGTAGTCCAAATCTAAAACCTTTCAACAATCCATGTGTCTTCTAGCAGTCACTTGTGTTCGTTCATACAGAAAAGTAATTTTATCCTGGAAAAAACCTATGCTAAACCCCATTCCTTAATGACACGGCGGAGCTTCTGTTGGAAAAAATAGACCGAAAAAACAATATTCAACGTCTAGAAAGGTCAATACACCATTTAAAAGAGTCGATTGAACATCAAAAATACGGATTAAAACTGCTAAGCCCTTAGTTAGCTACTTATTTTGAAAGCAAAGGTACCGCTTGAAATCTTTCATAGTCGCAAAGCCTTCTAAAGCCGCTTATAAATCTACTACTAGATCGCTTATCCATTTTATCAATAAATTAACCTTTCTTTAAAAGATAATTGCAAGTTGGCCTTCATATTGCCTGGCCCAATTAAAGAAAAGTCCTGGCCTTCGTGCATTACAGATTCTCCCTAACTTTATGGTGCACTCCCGCGGGTGTGCCAATTAATCGGTGTTTTCCATTAATTAACGGGATGAAAATTTAAGTCTGAAATACGCAGCTAGTTTCAAAACGTGTGTTTCTCAGATGCCACTCGTCCTTTTGGTAACAGGCGCATGGATATCTATTTAGGAAGTTCTTCCTGTTGAAAGAGAACATCTAAAGTGTGGCCTTCTTTAAGTAGCTGATCGGTTAGCTTGCGATTTTCTTGATATTTTTTTTCTCTCTTCTTTGCTGCTATAAGATTTTTCTGGCGCCGTTCTTCATACTATGCATATGGTCAATGGGCGCGAGCGTCTTACCTCAACCCGAAGACACTCGTCAAGCTTCTTCCGTATGGAAAAACATGCATTTCCAATCTTTGCATAAATGCCGCCATTCTTGTGACACTCGCGGTACTCCTTTAACAGGTCGAGACAGGTTATGGTTTGGTTCAGACCTGATTGGTTATTGCATATGAGACCACGTACCTAGTGGCATCCGCTAAATTGTAAAGTTTATAAAATTTGCATTCACATTATGGCTACATTGACGGTTGAACATGAGGAGGGTGACATGCATCGCAAGCTACGGTACGAGAAGCTCAAAAGACTTGGAGAGGGAACATATGCTGTGGTCTATCTTGTACGTGATAGGGTCACCAATCAACTTTATGCGATGAAAAAGATCAAAAAAATATCTGGCTCCTCGGGACTGGACTTTTCGGCACTGCGGGAAATCAAATGGCTCTCCCATTTGCGACACCCAAATATTGTCAAGGTAATTTACTTTTCACTTTTCTTCTAGTTGGAGGAGACCTTCATCGCCAAGGCACACATCCACATGGTCCTCTCACATGCATCGTGGGACCTGGAAATGTTGATCAAAAGCAAGGAAATTGTCTTTATGCCCTCGGATATCAAAGCCTGGATGCTGATGATTCTAAGAGGGCTAGACTACTGCCATCAAAACTGGGTTCTACACCGTGTAATCAGACTTTCTAATGCATAGGATATCAAGCCATCCAACATGCTCATCCAAGCTAATGGCACCTTACAGCTTGCCGATTTTGGGCTTGCTCGAGACTATGCAGTGCCACGCACCCCGCTTTCGCCAAATGTCGTCACTAGATGGTACAAGGCTCCGGAGCTTCTACTTGGCTCAACGCATTACACGCAAAGTATTGACACGTGGGCTGTTGGGTGTATTTTTGCAGAGCTGATGCTGAGAAAGCCGTATCTGCCCGGAGACTCGGACCTTGAGCAGCTAAAGCTTATTTGTAAGGCATTGGGAACGCCTACGAGAGAAAGCTGGCCAGGGATAGATTCCCTTCCCGATTGGGTAGAACTTCCCTTCTATGGTCGGCCAAACCTCAATTTGCAGTTCAGTGCTGCCTCTGCAGATGCTATTGATCTGCTCTCAAAGCTTTTGGAACTCGTTCCCGCAAATAGAATAACGGCCAGAGAGGTTGGTTTATAATTTGCTCATTTATTAGGCGTTGATGCATCCGTATTTTATAAACATTCCGCGCCCAACCCCGGTTGATAAACTACCGAAGCCCTAGCGATGTTGTGCGGGGCCATTGGATTCCTTGCTTATAGACTGAAGGATACCCTTTAGCTCTTAAAATTGGACTGTTATCTTACCTATATATTCAGAAATTGACTGGAGTGGCCGGCCCTCTCGCAGATGCAGCGGAATTTCCGGCAATATTTCCTTAAATAAATGGTCGATAAATACCTGCAGATGAATCCCACCGTGGTTTGATGATGTGCACTGATTTTGGTTGGCTTCCTTAACGATGAGGTCTATTTTTTTCATCAAATCTTTGATCTGGTTTAATGCTTGAAAGCCCTTGGACACCAAAGGGTTGGTGATTTTGTCCTTGCCCTCGTTGATGATGGTGAGGCGACACATTTTCACTTTTGAATGAAAAAAAGAATTACGGGGAGATCCTGATTTTGGAACTAGTGAGCGGGCCCGCGAGAAAGATAAATTTTAATTATTAAAATGGCCATGAAAGAAGGTGAGGCGCTCTAATCCAACTTTTTTCTAGATGAGCTGCTGAAAGAGCGCATCCTTAACGACGACAAGCTTTTGAAACGGATCCTAAAGCTATCCCTTAATAATGAAAAATTTGATGAGGAAGAGAGGCAATATCACTTGCTGATGGAAAAACATCAGATCATTTCCAGAAACACAGAAGCCGAGATTGCGGCCATGGCAGCACAGATAGATTCCCTGGTCATCAAGGAGCAATCTTTGCTAGAGGAAATTTCTACAATGTCGCTAAATATCGAGAATGAAAAGCGGATACGCGATATGAAGTCCGAATGCAACGCCATCTATGAGGAGCTGCAGCGCAAGGCATCGTTCAAAATGCTCAAGGAGTGTTTATCGATTTATTTATTTTTTGTCTAGAAAGTCGCAAAAGCTCGTTGTGGATATGAGCACAATAGAAAAATCGCTTGTCAGCTCCAAGGGTGAAAGTACGGCAAACAAAGATAGCATTTCCGCCCTTTTGAATGAGCTGGTGCAGGCGTTTAACAGGCTCCCATGATCACTAGCGGTTCTATTTAAGGTTCAAGAAATAAACAACAAAGATAAGAAAGCAAAAAGAGAACCACTTTCTCATCCAGACAATGGCGCGGTGACGACATTAAGGCTTCTTTGCTGATGATCGAGGGAAGCCGGCCCTCCATTGACTTTATAAAAAAGTGCATCCAATTATTTTGCGGAGGTGGTCTTTTCCCACAAGACTCGTAATGTAATAGGAGGGCAGAAAAAAGCCGTCCATCGGCGAAACTAGACGAAAAATCGTGAACAGGCAGTTTGTTCATCACCTGACCGATGATCCAGCACCACTCAAACAACAAAGAAAGGTGTCCCGCTTTGGCATCTGCAAGTTGGCAATGTACCTCACGCAACTCAATGGAAGAAGGTGGGGTTTCCTTTATGGGTTTCTTTTCATATAAAAGAGTTATCTCCTTTTGGAGACTTGAATGAGATATGAGCGCTGGAACTTTCCAGCTGCAAACTATTTTAAAAAGAAAAGCAATGGTCTTTTCCTTGTGTCCATCGACTATATCCTTGGTCTCGATTTCTTGCACTGACCCAAGGGAAGCATTTAGCACTTGAAAAGAGAACCCTCTCTCCCGAAGTAGCCTAAATATGCTACTCATATTTGACAAGTGAAAGGGTTTCAACACTTTCATTGGAAGTGAGAGGAACGATGAGTCGCTTGTTACTTTGGCCAACAACCGAGAAAGCTGGATACCGTCTCTCAAATCAAGTGAAAGCTGGCTAATGTGGTATGCGACCGCGTCGCAAGGTTTTTGGGTATACGCAAAAACGGCACCATAAAGTGAAAATTGCCTCACAATATCTCCCTGAGGCTGCAGGATTTTTTTGCAAAATAGATTCAAAAAGTCTACTGAACAAAAGTCACATGCTATTTTGTAAGGGAACATCAATACCTTTCTCTTTGAACAGGAGTCTAGGTGCAGATAGCTGCAAAGAATGCATTTTTGAGCGCAGGAGATCTAATAAGTAAATAAGAAGAAGTGCATTGAGAATCGCAGATTGCGAAAAGCCCAGTTTGTGGGCCACATTTGAGGCTGGAAATATAACATCAAGGAAAACTTTTCTTATGTTTGGATATTCGCTTGGGTGGAAGTAGTTTCCAGATAAGACCTCAAGCCCGAAACGGAGCCACCATTCGGAATAGGTCAAAGTAAACATCGAGACTACATCTTCTCTCGCTACAACATCGTAATAAAAGTTTAGCGTTGCGCTTAACGCTATTCGTTTACACTCGAATTCCTTCTGAAGCTTTGATCTAAAATAGGGAAAAGGCGAATTGAGGAACAAATTCTCATTTGTGCCATTTTCGTGATTTGATGCAAAAAGTTTATTCTCTAAAGTGGAAATCTTCTGTCCTGAAATGAGCTTTGAAGCCATGTCGTGGTTGTGTTTGTTAACATCGTAGTCATCAATTTCACGGGAAAAGTTGTTTTGAAGAACATCCTCAAGTTGAGCAAGCTCAAAGTTGATCCAATTTAGAAACCCCCTTTCCATGGGGGTTTCGTCCCTATAAGTGGCGCATTCCTCTTCTGCGTTTTGTGCAGCAGAAAACAAAGTAGACGAAAAAGACTCCAAATACGAATGCGTAGGTGGAATCTTTCTCTTGGACATTGAAATGTTAAATTAAAATTTAATCGTCAAATTTAAAGTGCTTTGGCTTGATGCTGGGATCGATCTCTTTGTAGTGAGAACCATAATCTTTATGTTCTCTTTTTTTGGTAGCGGTACCAAAAGCCAGTAGTTCCTGGGGTACGTCCTGCCCAGAGTTTCTAAGAACACCAATAAGCTCGCCCGAGTGGTTCTTATCCAATGGGGAGAATATTGTATGCGCAACACCAGAGCGACCGGCCCTGCCAGTTCTACCGATTCTATGAACATAATCCTCAATTGTCAGCGGAAATGTATAATTAATAACAGTCTCAACAAAGGGAATATCTAAACCTCTAGATGCAACATCTGTAGCAAGAAGAATCAAACTTTTTCCATCTTTAAAGGTGGCTAGCGCAGAGGCTCGAGCAGATTGAGCCTTGTCCCCATGAATTGTACTGACCTTGTATCCCTTTTTCAGTAGCACTTGTTCTATTCTATCTGCCTCCTTTTTATATAGGACAAATAAGATGATCTTTCCACTCGAGTATTTGGAGAGTAATGAAAAAAGAATTTTTTCTTTTTCTTGATGATCGTCGACAACGGTAACTATTTGCTTTATGGTAGACCCTCCTTTTAACGAAGAGGGGGAAAATTGTGAATTATCGGTGGAAGTTAAAAGCTCTGATCTAGAGGTAACGGAGATGCGAACAGATGGACCCTTTATCAGGGAATCTGCCAGCCTCTTTATGGTCGAAGGCCAAGTGGCAGAGAACATCAGAGTTTGCCGAGAAAGGGTGGAATCCATCGCATTTACGATCCTCTTAACGTCTGGAGCAAATCCCATGTCAAGCATCCGATCTGCCTCATCAAGTACAAAATAAGAGACCGTAAACAAAGATAGTTCGTCCTCAGATAGGTAATCCAATAAGCGACCTGGTGTTGCAATCAGAATCTGCGGCTTTGTGGATAGGAGATGGGCTAATTGGGACGAACGATCGACACCACCGTAAATTACTGTCGACTTGATGGGCTTCTCAAGGAAGCCTGTGGCCTTTTCGATAGTCTCTCCAATCTGGATGGCCAATTCTCGTGTCGGTGCCAAAATAAGCACATCAGGGGAATACTTCCCATTTGGCACGTTTTTTTTGGTCCCTGACAAGTGAATCACCTTCGCAATTGCAGGGATGCCAAATGCGATTGTCTTTCCAGAGCCAGTTTCGGCAATACCAACTATAGATTTGGAAAAGGTGAGAGCATATGGCCAAGTTTGGCTCTGAATAGCAGAGGGGATATCCTCAAACCCATCGCAAATCTTTAAAAGCCCCTTTGGAAGAACAGCAGAAGAGTCGGAGAACCGGATAACCGGTTTGAATATTTCTGCGCTTTGTCCGTTGGAATCGCCAGTATCGACGGAAATATTCTTTTCTTTTCTGAAAATAATAGCCTCTTCCTCAGATATTTTGGATAAATTCTGAAGTAGCTCCAAATACTGGACAGAAGTTGCATGTGGAGGCGAAGGGACTGAGGTGCCGGTCTTCTTTACTTTGGTCTTTGCCATGTAAAATGAAAACAAGTAAAAAATTTAATTAAAAACTCGCAATAGATCCGAGATTTAATTTGCTGGATTATCCTCCACCCAAATATTTAATATGCTTGCCTCAATCGGAGAGCGAAGATAACCCCGAATGCTCAGAAAATGACCATTCATCACTATATCTGGTAATACCATGCTCAGGGACATCTGGGTCCAGTAGTTTCAGTATGGATTCGTGCTGCAGTTTAAAAGGGTCTACTACATCATATTTTAAAATGGAGGCAGATCGAGAACAGGCCGTTCCAAATCCAGAAAGATCATTGGTCGGTATGGAGTCAGAAACCTTTTTAATAGAAATCAAGCAAGAGGCACTTTTTCTTGCTATGATTGGTGAGCTATTCAGGTCGATCCTTCCCACAATTGGTGGGATAACACTTTTTTCGCTGCTTTCTTCTTTTTTAGCTTTGAGACACTTTGATGGGGAAATTGTATTTGAATGGGAGCCTCTAGTAAATATCCCGATTCTATTTCTCAGCATTCGAAGTGGGTGTTCGTTTTCAACCACAATGACGCTTTCGTTTTGCCATTGTGGAATGACTCGTTTTTTTGTGCGTACCCTCATGTTGTGTAAAAATTTGGCGTCTCCTTTGAATGTGTGTGTGTGTGTATGTATGTGTGTGTGTGTGTGTGTGTATAGAAATCCTCATCTGGTCGGTCAGTGCTGTAATTTGAAGGGTTTAAAGGCCATTAAAAATGTCCTGATTGATGTCTACGCTTTGCAGACTGCAAATTTTAAAATACCTTCAATTTAGCCAGCAAGATTGCAAGGTGTTTATTAATATCGGGCCATTAGCAATTTTGGACATGAATTGGGGTCGCCTACGTGCATCTCTCTCTTTGAGACGGTTTTATTCCAAGTTTACTATTGTTGATCACTCTTATGATGCTGTTGTCGTTGGTGCTGGCGGTGCTGGACTTAGAGCCGCATTTGGACTTGCCCAGGCTGGGTTTAACGTCGCCTGCGTTTCAAAACTCTTTCCAACCCGTTCACACACCGTTGCTGCACAGGGAGGCGTCAATGCCGCGCTTGGAAACATGGGCCCGGATGATTGGCGTTGGCATATGTACGATACTGTGAAAGGCTCCGATTGGCTTGGAGATCAAGACGCCATCCATTACATGTGTAAAGAAGCGCCTCGTACCGTTATCGAGCTCGAGCATTATGGCGTTCCGTTTTCGAGGACACCTTCCGGGACAATATATCAACGCGCTTTTGGGGGGCAGTCTTTGAACTATGGAAAGGGCGGTCAGGCCTACCGCTGTGCTGCCGTTGCTGACCGCACTGGGCATTCAATTCTTCATACGCTTTATGGCCAAGCTCTTCGTCATAAGACAAAATTTTTTGTCGAGTACTTTGTCCTTGACTTAATTATGGACGAAGATGGCTCATGTCGTGGTGTCATTGCCCTAAGCATGGAGGATGGCACCATTCACCGCTTTTTCTCCTCTTCTGTTGTTTTGGCAACCGGAGGATATGGGAGGGCCTATTTCTCTTGTACTTCCGCCCACACGTGTACTGGAGATGGAACCGCAATGGTTTCCAGAGCTGGGCTACCGCTGCAAGATTTGGAGTTTGTTCAGTTTCACCCGACAGGCATATATGGTTCAGGATGTCTTATCACTGAGGGGTGCAGAGGGGAAGGTGGATTCCTTTTGAATGCAAACGGTGAACCTTTCATGGCTAGATATGCGCCTACAGCCAAGGACCTTGCATCGCGAGATATCGTTTCTCGAGCCATGACTATTGAGATTGCGGAAGGCCGAGGAGTGGGTCCTGAAAAAGATCACATCCTGCTCCAACTGTCCCATCTTCCTAGCGAAGTTCTAAAGGAGCGACTTCCTGGAATTTCTGAAACGGCAGCCATATTTGCTGGTGTTGATGTCACCAAGGAGCCCATTCCCGTGTTGCCAACTGTCCATTACAACATGGGCGGAATTCCGACGCGCTACACTGGGCAAGTTCTTACAGCGGATAAGTCTACCGGTATTGCCTTCTAATCCTATCAAATAGGAAAGGAAACGTTAGTTTCAGGTCTATATGCTGCCGGAGAGGCTGCGTGTGTCTCTGTGCATGGGGCTAATAGACTGGGAGCCAACTCATTATTGGATATTGTGGTCTTTGGCCGTGCCTGTGCTCAACATATCCAAGAGACAACGAAACCTGGAGGTAAATCTGGAGGTAGAGTGGGTGTATATACTTTTCTTTAGCATCAGTAAAGGTCGCTTCGGTCGATGATCCTTCGTCAAGCACATTCAAGACCTTGCAGAATTTAGAGAATCTGCTTTCCTCGAAGGGCGATCTTTCGACAGCCCAAATTCGGCTTGCTATGCAAAAAACTATGCAAAAATATGCTGCGGTGTTCAGAACACAAGAAACCCTTGACCAAGGTTCAAAGGAAATCCTTGAAGTTGCACAGCAGTTGAAACGACTCAAAATCTCGGACACTTCTTTGATTTGGTATTTTTCCACTTCTTTTATCTAGGAACTCTGAATTGATCGAGATGCTTGAGCTACAAAATTTGATGACCAATGCAGTGCAGACAATGTTTGCTGCGCGTGAGAGAAAAGAGTCTAGAGGCGCCCATGCAAGAGAAGACTACAAAGAACGCGATGACGAGCGATTCCTCAAACATACCAAATCA